CACTAAAAAAATAAAATAAAATCCCCTGTGAATTGTTTTTAGTTGTGCATATATCATTGCACTGCATTAGCAACTTCTTCTACACAGCACAATAAGTCAGCGCATTCAAATTCAATAATAAAATATACACCGTGTATTTAAATCAGAATATATGGACAATTTTCTACAGTTCTCAGATCCAGGACACTCCACTCTCACAAGCATGGGTAAGCGAAACACTGGCGTCACATGCGATGGCTTGGATTGCATATTGACTTTCTGCCCATTACAAGGAGCTACTGACCTTCACTATAGCTGCCGAGAATAAAGTTACTTTGTATAAAACCATTACAAGAAGAAAGATTGAATGGGGGAATCTGGCTTGAAACGGATGATAGCAGAATTTCCAGTGCGCATTTCAATTAAAATATCCATGACAGTTTACAGTGGAAGCCATTGCCAAGTAAGTCCTCGTTCACAACTAGGTGGGACAAAACGCTTAAGACAAGAAATCCCATCCATTTCTATGGTCCCAGTTCACACCTGAGTGTTTGTATCGCAAACAGAAAAACACCTGTCGCTGGAAAAAGTAAAACAGCTACTTTTTACCAGATTACATACATTTTTGGTCCCATAGATTTCAATCTGGAAACCTGGTGTGAACAGGGGCCATAGAAACAAATGGGATTGCATGTCTTGAGCATTTTGACCTGCTTAGCCTTGAGGGACAAAGTGCCTAGGTGTGAACAGAGCCTAACTGCATAGAAATCAGTGTAGTCCACAAAAAGGCAACACTATGTTAGCAGTTGTGTCCCTAAAAAGCTGTATATGATATTTCCACATTGGAATCCTAGATCCAAAGTAGATTCCTTCTGCTTGGGCATACTGTAAGTCTATTTTTACTAGGGATGCACAGATACTTTTTGAGTACCAGTGCAGATACTTGGCATTTTCATGAGAACTACCAGGGTTGCAGCGGTTGCAGCTGGGACCTGGCTCTGGCACTCCACCACTGTCCTAAAATTATTAGTCTGTATTATTTTAGAAAAACTGTCACATGACAATAAACAAAAATGTATCAGTACTCGTACTTGTAAGTACTCGGCAAGTACCAGTACTCGTACTCGCCAAACTGGTATCTGTGGATCCCTTTATTTATATTTATAAAAACAAAATCGTACATTAAAACAGAGATGTACAAATCCCAGGAGCTCCGTGTGCTCCTTACAAATGACAGCTGCCCCCTAATTTTTGAATTTTTCTCTAGTGTAGTCTTGGAGCTCAAAAGTATCGGTTCATGTACTCGTACTTGTACCGAGTACTGTACTTGGTATCTGTGCAACCCTAATTTTTACACACCTGATTTTAGATTTTTAAATAGGTTTTGAAATCTGTTTTTGTAATTGATGCCAGATATCAAATATTTTTAAGCAGAAAAAAAAGAAGAACAAAAGAAATGGGGATTCGGGAAACGGGGATGAAAAAACATGCCTTTAAAGCCAAACTTGAACCAAAAATGTTGGGGAAATTCTCCTTCCCTTCCTGTGCCTCTAAAACCCATACAAATAATAGGAGAAGCAGGTAACGCATAGACACCAAGGCCCAGATAGCAATGAAAACATTGTCAGGGGTTCTAACCCTTCCTCACTTTACTAAATATATGTTTCTGTTTATGTCCGTCCCCTACCTCAACAGATTTTGCATCAATTCCTGTCCTGATAGGATGTGTTCCCAACAGGGACACAGATGGCAGTAAAAACCTCATTTCCCTATTCTATCCAAAACAAAATAAACTGTTTTGGCTGGAATTGACATAGTTTATGGGGAGATAGTAACTAGACTATACATTGAAGACAGTAGAGATGAGCTGGGGTTTGGGCCTGTTCTGAACCTGAGCCCCATGAACACAGAAAGAAGCTCCTTCCGCTGCCACCCAATAGTTATAAACCTGTGCTTATCCCTAGAAGACAGCAGACATGCATAACACAATTGTTCTACAATCTCAGATACGGGTTTGTATTTCTAAAGTTTCTGAAAAGTCCATAGTAGCCAGATATGCTGGACAGCCAATATAGCTCAGACACTACCTCCTGCTTCGGTAGGCATTTCTTGCTTTGATAGGTAATCTTGCAGAGAGATAGTGCAGAATTGATCCAGGTGGTAAAAATGGTGCATGAGTGTAAATCCCACTTAGGAGTGAGTCCCTGTTCACACTTAGGCATTTTGTCCCTCAAAGCTAAGCACGACAAAATGTTCAAGACAAGGAATCCCAATCATTTCGATGGCCCCTGTTCACACTTAAGTATTTTGTCATGGGAAGTTTCCAAAACAGCTTCCAAACAGCTGACCCCAACTCTCTCAGCTCAGCTTCCCTGAACTTCCTGTCCAGTACAAGATTGCAAGAGACAGAACAGCCTCCAGCAACTGTCCATCTACTAGCTTGGAGAAGGGAAGAAGGAGAAGGGGGAAACAGAAAGCAGGGAGTGTGTTGCCTTGCTGTGTCTGACACAGCTGTGTCACACAAGGATGGCTCCATAGGACCCTGCAAGGGAAAGGAGCCACCCTAAAATAGGCTATCAGGGCCAGCACTCAGGAGACCAACTGATTCTGCAGGAAACTAATACTTTTAAACATTAGGAAGCAGCATCCATTGTAAGTAATTTAGCCAGCATTTGAAATAGCTTAAAAACATCTTGACTTTAATATCACTTTAATATTATTGATATGTTAACATATCTCCTAGTTTGGGATAGAGTGGAGAACAATTAGAACTTCTATCTAGTTTTTATTGTTGTCTGTGACCCCATTTAGGAGATCCTCTCTCACGTTTTGTTCTGCCTACTGTTGTTGCCATGATAGAAAGTGAGGGGAGAGTCATGTTTTACAAAAAAAAGAGAAGAGTGGAAATATTCTAACAGAGACACATGTTCCAGTGGTGGCTTTCAAAAGTGGGATTTCCTTTTAGTTTCGGTAGATTTTTGCTATGGTTGAAGTGATGTACTAACTTTGTTTCCTAAGGCATTTCTGGAACAGAAGCTCTCACCATGGAAGAAGTATGTGCTTTCTAGCTTTCCTAATGGAGGTTAAAGTGCAAATCCAGCCAAAACATTTTTCTTAGCTTTGGATAGACTAGAAAAGGCTTAGACCTTCCGTCAGGTTTTTACTCCTAGAAGCGGTGTGCGGTGGGATATCTATTCTGGGGTCTATTAGAGAGATTTCCCCCACACTTCCTTCCTTGCTGATGTTTTACCAGACAGGAAGTGGGGGGAACTCTCCAACAGCAACACAGAAAGAAATACAAAGTTTTTCTTTATTAGAGTAGGGCAAACCTTAGGCTAGAACCTCTGTACATTTTTTTTGTCTGTGACCCTGTTGCAGATTTTTCTTTGACTTCCTGTCTGGTTAAACCATTGTCAGCAGAACAGGAAGTGAGAGTAAATGATTCTGATTCTTCCCCACTCTATCTAAAACTAGAAAATGTTTTTTGGATGGACATGCACTTCCAATAAGAACCTTCTGAAATTGCAGAAGTGACCTATGTCCTCTATGTGTGTATAGGGCAGAAAAAAAAGACGTCCTCAGTCTGTGACCTTGACCTCCCTGTTTTACCCGGAAGTCATCTCTGACTGACATATTGCACTGCAATGATGACAAATGAACTCACGAAGAGAAATCATGTTCATTTTAGGTCATAGTTTTAAAATTATTATCAATTATTCATTGAATACATTGAATACATTACATTACATCAGTCATTCTTTTCTGTCTATCTACATTACGTCTTAATGACTTAAATAACTCAATAGGAAGAACAAGATGATTTACTATTATGAGTTCCCATCTCCTGAGAAGTCTGGGGTTTGGGAAGAATATTTTACATGGCTTTTAATGGATCATTCAAAGAAGAGAAATATAGTATGCATTAAAAAATGCAGATAGTTATTTGCATTGCTTTACCCTAGACTCCAGTTTTGTATTTGTCATAGTTTAAAAGAGAACTATGGCCCAATCTTTTGTTTGCCATAATTCTCTTTAGGGTCACAGGAGGACATATACTAATGCATATAGTAGGCAGAGCTGCTGCAGCCAGGACGGATGCCAACAATATTGTCGGGATCCACCCCACTGCCTGATTGACAGAGGTTTCTGCGTCTCTAGGCTCTGCCTCTCTTTCACTCTCCCCATAATTCTCTTTTAAACTCTACAGATGCAGATATAGACAAATGCAGATATGTGCATTAGTGGACTGCTCTCCATAAGACTATACAAAGATTGCACAGGATGGTAATAATAGGATCTGCAAAAAAGCTAAGTTGTCAGGGCTGTGCCAAGGGGAGGAGGGAGTTCTTAAAGGGCTACACCAGTATTTCTGAACTTTATTAAAGGAGAACTATGGGGTTAGGGCTTTTCCCCATAGTTCTCCTAAGGGTAATGGGAGGACACAAACTAGCGTCCTCCCATCACCCAAAGCTCAGTATACTGCGAGCTACAGCTCGCGGTATACTGAGACGCCGCAGCTGGAACGGATCCCGACAATTATGTCTGGATACACCCAGCTGCATGAGTGACAGCTGGCTCTGCCTATCTAGAGTCAGAGCCAGCTGTACCAGCCCCCTCCCCCGTCCGTTCCGCCAGTACTAAAAGTACTAAAGCTGGCCATACACCAGAGTGTGAATGGGGGAATTCCCTCCCACCAGGCTATTGTATTCTGACAGTGGCAGATGTGCTGCTGTCAGAATATCTGAAGAGTGACTGCAACTGATTGGCCATACACTGCATGAATTTTAGGTGAGTCAGCAGGCCTTGGTCGAAATTCCAGGAGTGTATAGCCAGCTTTACACCAGCTGAATTAAAAAAATACATGAAAGGATTCAGAAACAATGCACAGCTGGGATATTTATATCTGTCTTGAGTTCAGCTTTGAATGATACCCAAGGACAGGTTTTTGAAACATGGAAATATTGCACTCATTTAGCCATACAATTATGGTTAGTAATTCAAATTCAGATGAAAAGATATACCTTCCATTGTCTTTTTCATTTTTGTTTTTTCTTCAGACATTTCATTTGTTTCAATCATCTGCAAAATAAAAGTAATAAGAGAATGAATTTCAAAGTCAAAATGTCTGCATAACATCTTCCTGATTGCTTCAATGATTCATGAGATTGCCAGCTATTGTTCAGATAATACCTAAAGCCACAACATGGGTTCACTCAGTAAATACCATTCACATGTTTTGTTTTGTTTTTAAATGATACAACTACTGTATCTGATGAAAACATCATCTTAGAGAAAGAAAACACTTTTAAACATTAAAAGCAATATGCACCCAATAGTGCTTAAGGATTCAACAGTACTCTCTACAGATAAAGTATTTCGTGTTTTTGCTGATCCTACCAGTGTCTAGATTAATAATACAATATACTACTAAAGTGTCAGTGTCCAGGCAGGAGCAGTATAAAAAAAATCCAGTTTTCTGCTATACTGTGAAAAAAACCTGCTGTTTTCCAAGGTAATTGTCTTGCCCATTCCTGGGCAAACAAAAAAAAATACCCCTGCACTGCAGGGTGAAGTGCTCGTTTTGTCTAGGGGATACTATTAAAGCTTATTCTTACCTGATCCTCGGCCCCACCGACTCCCTCCGAGCTGCTAAACTGGTACTTGCAGTCTCTTCTCCCCTGGGCTCCGGTGGTATATGGACCACTGACCTCATCACTTCTCAAGCAGGCACATTGAACTGCATTTGACGTGAGGATGCAGGGAGACATTTCAACATTCACAGTGGAGGGGGAGAAGAAGCGTGTGTTGACAGCCACAGCAGCCAGGATCAGGTAAGTGAAAGGCCCTTGGAAAAAACGAGCACTTAACCCTTGCAGTGCGGTGATAGCTCCACTGCAAGTGTCATTTTTTTTTTTTCACCGAGAGATCGGCTTTGAAAACTATAGCTGGTGCCCAACTTTTGAGGTTTTCTCTAGTTATTGTCAGTGGAGTTGGCTCCTAAATAAATCTTGCTGGCTCCTGGATTGGACAAACTGGCTTCTGAATTCCATATTATTTTTTCCACCCATGTTGTAAATATAATTCTGTTTTTACATTTCATCAGCATGCAGATCAGTCAAATTCTACATACCCATACAGGTTCTATATTAATTTGTATTGTTTTAAAAATACTATTAAGAATGATTTGTACTTAAATGATACTGTAAATCAATAAAAGTAAGGAAACCTGGAGCAAGGCTAGCGCCATTACCAAAACTAATCATAATACTTGCTATATTCATACGTATATATACATCTATATTGATATATGATATCGGTTACAGTGAGATCCTGTTCTATTTGCTTTCGTTTTTCTAAATCAAACTCACTGCCAGCAATAATTTGATATTTTGTTTGTGATCTTGTAATTGTATTTTACTTTGTATTTATTGCATTAGCCCAGCTGTAAAAAACAGACCTTTTGATGGAAGTGAATTGGAGGTCCAATATCAGTTTATTTTTGTTAAGCAAGAGCTGCAAATCCACCCGACTAATAATTCTTTCCCTAAGCGCCGTTTCACATGATAGATTATCCACATATTTTTAGGCATGCTGAAAGGATTTCTCCTGCAGTCACTGAAAACTTTCAAAGCTCACAAATTGTTTAACCACAGCCAATTATAACTAGCAAGGTATACATCTGCTGTATTGTATTAAAAAATGTTAATCAAATTGTCTGAAAGAACAGTTTTTGTTGGCTTTGACCACCAATTAGGTTTTCCCCGGCAGGGCTCATTAAAACCGTTACCTTAAAGCTCATTTATGCATTTTAATGCATATTGACACAATACCTGGTAATGCATGGTATATATATATGTGCTGCCACTAATTTCGAAAGGCACACCAATGCACATATATACAGTAAAAAAACATGCATTTTTTCTATAGCCCACCACAACGCAAAGATGTAATTGCTCTGTGCATTGCGACATACTGTTTGGCCAAACATTTTGCAGATACTTTTCTTTCTTCGAGGCTCATTATTTGTTCATTTAAAGTGAATGGGATGCCTTTACACAATGCATGTCAATGCACACGCTAATGCACATGGAGAGATATGAATGCATTCTCAATGAATTTGACTGTTTGCTTTAGCTATATATTAGATATGTTTATCACACATTATATTCTTTCAGTGCTGTCATATAATTTTATTTGGAAAATCAATAAATGTTTGTAAATAATCTTCTCCATACTAGGCTAATTTTTGTGAGCTGTAAGAAAAATATATTATTGCGTCACAGTGACGCTCTGTGCCTTCTGTGCTGGGTAAGGCACCCCCCAGCCCGACGAAGCCCCACCCCTGCCCCACCGAAGCTCCACTCCATCCCGCCGAAGCCCCGCTCCCGGCTCGGTAACCAAGCTGTGCGGGGAGGAGGAAGGGAGGAGACAGGGAGGAGCCTCCCTGTCCCTCACTTGCTTGCCACTGGTGAGGCATCGAGATCGATGTCCTCACTGTTTTTTTTTTCTTTTCGTTTCTTTTGATTGGGCAGCTTGGACCAACGGCGCTTTGCTATTGGTCCAAGCCATCCACAGAGCTCACGCCTCTAAAACAAAGTAGAGGCTGTGACAGCTCTTACCTCACCAAGTTAGGTTACAAAAGCAGTGGTGAAGCCCGCTGCTGTGTAACCTAACTAGCTGTCAAAAGCTGGGTGCAGCGCTGCCTGTATTTAACAGGCACCGCTCCGTCCATGACAGGTTACACAGCGCGGAGGCTTTCCCTGCTGTGTAACCTGTAACAATGGAGAAAACGTTGTCAGCTTCAGACTTGAAGCTGACAGCTTTTTAATGCATAATATTAGATGAGGCTCTCCCTCACCTGCCTCCCCTGACCGCACGTCCCTGTTGCGTCATAGATGTCTGTAATTTTTTTTACAGTGGTAACTGTCTGTGAGGATTGTCAAACACACCCAGAGCTAATAAATAAAAAAAAGTAACAAATATATCCTACATTAGCATTTTGTGAAGAATGAACAGCTTCCATTGACTGCAGTTTGTTTTCCAGAACAAGTATTTTCTCCTGTAGTCGTTGGATCTCTTGCTTGTTTCTGGTGTCTGCTTTCAGAAGCATGTCATAGTCCTGCATTTTCTTTTCAGCAACGGAGATCTGCTCCTTAAGGTAGGCTATGGCTTGTGTCTGATCGTTGTACTCAGCATGATGCTTCTCTAGCTCACATACTCGCTGTTCTGCCTCTCTGTATTTGTCTTTAATGTCCTGGAGTTCTTTGAGATGCTGGTTTGTTTTTGACTCTAATTGAGATCTCCAGTTGTTATTTACTTCCTCTACCTCATCTTTAACCTCTTGAAGTTTGATTTTAAGGCTTTCTCTTTCTTTGATATGGACTGCGATTTCTATCTCCTTTTTAGCCTTCAAGTTTTCGAGTTCAAGTTGATGCTCCATTTTAAGGCTTTTAAGGCTGGCTTTAAGCTCCACTATTTCTTTATGTTGTGAGTCTGGGCTGGTAACCAGTGAACCTTTTAGGTCTTCCAATGATTGCTGATGATCAGAAACTAAGCTGTCCAATTTAGATTTCCAATTATCCATCATGCCTATGTTTTCCTTTGTTGCCTGTTCCACTTTTCTCTTCAGCTCTCCAATTTCCTGGACATATTTCTCATTTGAGGCCTTCAATTTCTCAATCTCCTGTTGGTATCTTTTTATGTTCTTCTCATATTTGTCTCTCTGCTGGCTACTCTCTTTGTGGTGCTCTTTGCTAGCAGACAGGAGCTTATCTCGTAGACGCAAAGCCTCAGTTTGCAGTCCAATATTGTGTTCAGGTGTGTCTGAGTGACTGGAGTTCATCAAACAATTTTGGAGGTCTTCAATCTCATTGCGACGATGGCTCAGTTCCTCCTCCAGCTGCTGAATTCTGGTTTGCTCTGCTACTGTTGTTAGCTGTATAAGGGATCAAAAGAACATATGAATGTTACATTATTAGTACAGCAAGTAATTTGAAAGCTAAACAATGACAATACTGTTATCCATTTTAGTGAATTATTTTACACCAAGGCATCAAGCTTTAGTCACTTGTGACTCTGACATTATAATGTAATATGTATTTATCCATTACATAGTACAGTCTAGCTTTCAACAATAACATTCTATAGAAATCCTCTTATATGCCCCGGTATAAAAACTAAGTGTGAATGACACGTGGATGTGTGTTAGATGCTCTCTGTTAGTATCAGTAAATAGTCAACAACCAATTTGCATTTGCTTTTGTGTTTAAAAAAAAATCTATTTATAAAAGGACAGTACCCTAAAACCTGATATTTTTGTTTTTAGTAGATGCCATTTTGAGCCGACCGCCAGTTTTTTTGTATGTTTTGGGGAACCTAATGGAAAGGTTGCTACACCTGACTGCTGTTCTACACCCATCAGTTGCTGCTAAATGAGAGGATCACCTACTCCTCCTGTTTTAGAAGAGGTGCTTGGAAGTCACCACTGGGGGCAGTTACTCAAAGCCAGAATGTCTAGTAGCTAGTTCGTGCCACTGGCATCCTTTTAAATTAAAACCCATCAGTGTCCATAATTGAAATCCCGCATGGCCTGACATTCTAAGTTTGTTTGTTTTTTAATCTTTTCTAGAGTATTCTATTCTACACATCATTCAAATGTCTATCTAATACAGCCATGTATTCATATAATCCACACATTTACAACTTACTCTTTGAGACTGACATTAAGGTAAAAGCAAAAATTTTTGTTTCAGAAGTACATTTTTAGAGCATTTTGTAAAGTTAAAAATACAAGCTGTGTTTTACAGCAGCATATCTGATAAAAACTACAATAGAATTCAACTCTGTGACCACAAAACTACATTTGTGGGCATAAAATAACTATCTAACCTATCAGAGGCTTTTCTATGTGGCCTATAAACACCTAGATAATGACACGGATAGGTAAATACTCATGTCACTGCTTTTAAAACTTTACACATATTGTAAGCACATGATATTGATCATACTGATTATGATTTGCCTGTTAGCATTTGGAACAAGTGGAAGTGGCCAAAAAGTCATTCTGGCCTGTTTCAGCACTTAAAATGATACTGAACTCAGGAATTAAATCTTAAAAAATGCATTCAAGTACTCTTACTATTAACAAAAATGTTTGTTTTTTACTCAGCTGTAGATCCTCAAATCATCCCTGAATTCATGCGGACTCATGAATTCACACTGTTCTTCCTTTTGAAAGGTGGTTACTTTCCCCATGGTCCCTGTGTGTGTTGTAAAGTAGTCACCGCTCACAGGATGTTTTACAATCTCAATACAAATTAGTAAACTAAACATGAGATTGTAGTCCACCACAGGAGCAAGCTTTGAGAGGTGGCTACTTTACAACACACACAGGGACCATGGAGAACAAAAGTAGCCACCCTCCAGAAGGAAGGAGGTATCAGCAGAAATTCAGAGATGATTTGAGGATCTACAGCCAAAGTGAGTTTAGTGTCACTTTAAAATTAAAATAGAGTAAAACTGAGACTGTATTTACTCCCATGCCTAATTTTAAACATAGAAAAATGTATGGGATCCCCATATATAGCATTTAGTGGTTTCTGGCCTTTCAGAGGACTTTCATAGCTGAGAGTATGTGGACTGGGGTATGTTTTCCGAAATCCGATTTTTTTATTTGGGTGGTCATTTTTAAAAAGAACAGCCAACTTGGGTGTTCCAAACTTTTACCAAGTTTGGCTAAATAAATCTGTGTGTGTTCAGCTCTGTTGCATACATTTAGCGTGTACACCGAACAACAGAAGAGATAATGTTATGATGACATGGAAAACCACATCTGACCGGATAATTATCTGCAGTAAGGGTCATTTTTTTGTTGAGGAAGTGATGGACAAACAAGGTCCAATGCAGTGCCATATAAGTCCCTTTTGCATCTGTACATTTAACAGATGTTAGCCTTGTAATCAGTTAAACATATCCATACATAAGCTTTTAGTTTCATGCATTTCATATTATTTTATCACTGTTTAAATCATTGTACAGCACAGCAAAGTTATAGAGTTTAGTTGACTGTTACAGAATGTAGTGCTAGTCTGAATTAGGTTACATGAAAACATTTCACAATATCCAGCAGAGGTCACATAGCATCAGGGAGGTAGCTGAATCATTTTTATGAATGTTTATAACTTTCACTTGTGAGTCACTATAAATACAGTAAATGACAAAATGAGGTTTGCTATAAAAATGCTCATGTGTTTAACTAAAAGCCAATGATTCCAAGTGCTGAGCCACAAACTTAAAGCAGTTGCACCATATACCATTTTCTCTCTTTATAGTATCTATAGATTACTGCTGTCTGTTGTATATCACAGCAAATTCTCTTTTTATGTTCATAATTTTTAAACAGGTTTTAGTTTTTATGTAAAGAGAAAAATGTTAAGAGCTGTAAAAAAAAAAAAAAACACACAGGTTTGACTTGTGCATTTAAAGTACTACTGCTTTAAGTCTGCAAAAAAAAAAAAAAGGTTGGCAAATAATAATTTATTTGGGTGTGCACAAAAAAGTGAATGCAAAAATAAAAGCTGTTGAAGCCATAATGAGCAGGAATGACTAAAAGCAAAAAGGTCAGGGCCGAGGGTGTAAATGAAGCTGGCAAGCACATTGGACTTCAGGTAGGGGTCACTGATTTCATTTTACTATACCCTCTGGTCCTCAAATTCTTTGAGAAGCTTTGCAGTTTTTGCCTTCTCAAACAGTAGGTTCTGCTCGAGCTCCCGAATTTGGGCATGCTCCAACTGCGTCTGTGTCTGCACCCAGGGGATAGGAAAAAGAGAGACAGCAGGAGACAAAGGTTGCAAAATTATCCAACATCCATATGAGAAAAATACCGTCTTCAGGCTGGAATGGTTGCTGATAGAGAAATGTGTACTTAGGGGGAACATGTTTGTTCCAGTTTTGTCACTGGTTGCCTCGGGTGCCAGAAAACTAAAACAACACCTAGACAGGTGAGACAGCCAATAGCAAAACTGTGAGGAGAAGAAGAAGGCTACAGTCAATTACATCAGGTAAGAGACCATTTACACATGTTTCAAGAGACAGATGGAACAAAAGATAACTGAAACTGGGTAGAGAAACTTCTTAATTCCATATGCTATTGATTGGAGCAGAATAAGCACGTGCTATAAAAAGGATGTGCCTTAACAATGTAAAATTCTTGCATCTCATCCTTCAAAAACATGAATGCATTGTCCTCCCTGTTCCAGGTCTGGCAGGATTGACTGTTTATATTACCACCAATTTAAAATAGGCTGACACTGATACATCTATATCTTTCTCTTTTTCAGAGTTGAGTCTTGCTGCCAAAACACAAGAAAAGCAAACTCTGAGTGTTTTGTAATCATTGATTAATATCTTTATGCAGCTCTACTACCAGAAGCTGCACTAGCAGCATTTTATGATGATAAAGATAACATTTTTCTAGATTTAGACCATCTGTCAAACATTGTCATATTTCTAATATACGTTTTCTGACTCAATACCACAACATGAAAAGCGGATGGAATACATTATCTTCAGTTGGAAATAAGATCGCAGAGCCCGGAAGCTTTCTCCACAAAGGCACTTGAATGTCATTCCACAATGTGTTTCTATTTGAGTGAATGTCAATGGAAGGGGCCATCTGGGAGGATGAACTGCAAAGAATGGGGACATTGTGACAGAGCTCCAGTGTGCCTGTGCGTCTTGGCTGGGACATGATTTTTATAAGTTCTAGTAATGCTCTGATAAGAGAGCTTTTAGAGAAAAACACTGATAAGATTTACCCCTGCCATCTTTTTTTAATTAAAAAGTCTGCACAGAAAATAGTCACAGAGCGAACATATTATCGTCTGTATATTTCTTCAAGCCAAAATTGAGACTTATTTTATTATGAAGGACAATTTTCAGTTTGCATAGCAGAGTACTTGTCCATAAACTGCAATATTTTCTTGGTATCATGAGTATGAATGCAAATCTTAAAGTAGAACTATGGCCTCCCATTAAAAAATATGTGTACTACATCACTTATTTATAACTCCCACAAATACTTGTTGAGCCTGACAGTGAAGTCCACTGAATGCAGCTTCCTGTGATGGTGTAACAACGATGCTGCACTGCTCCTGATTTCCTGTAGGCTGTGCCTGCTGGCACTATAGTGAGATAATAAAATGTTGCAAGGATGTGCTATTGTCACTGCTGATTCACAAGTCTGTAGCTCGTTACCTAATCCTGCCCACTAATTTCTAGAATGGGAGCTGCAGTGTATGGCAGGAAGAGTATTTGAGACACAGCTCAAGGAGGATTTGGCCAAGTCAGGAAAGGTAAAGGAAATCTTTTGTTTTACTTTATGAGCTTTGTGCACACATAGTAGCAGGTTGTGGGACTTGTTGAAGCTTTCACACAGGAACTTTAAATTGTACCTTTAAAGTGGACATACACAATCCAATTGTTTCAAGTGATTCATTGTATTAGAGCGCTGGTTAAAATACAGGATTTTGTAGGGGAATTCCTGACAACAATAATAAGTACTAGAAGTATTCCATAAGTATTTCCATAAGGAAAGGAAATAAACTTTGTACTATATGTTCCATGTACATGTGAGAACCAAGTTAGTGAAGACAGGTCCTGGTGTTCTGGAAATGCAAGGACAGATTTCTCACAGCTCGTCGCTTTCAGTGAGACATTTGGCCCTTCATGGCTAACCTAAAGTATAATAAATCTAGAGGTGCACATACACAGGAAGCTTAATGTCTGTAAGAAATTATCTATGGAATATTTTTTTTAAAGAAGGTAACTGTGGCATGCAGTAATACCTGTCATACTGTAGTAATAGTAGTACCTTGTAAATAATGGTGTTAACTCGTGTAAGGGAATGCTTCATGCAATAAGGATTGTATTTGCCAAAACAACCAAATTAATTTGTTTGCCATCACAGATGCTTTTTCCTAAAGACTTTTGTACCTGCGTTCTAATAGGAGCCAATATATCCTTGGTATTTCTAATAGATTACCTGTTACCTGTTATAAATGCCCAGACAAGTGTATTACGCCTTCCACCGTCACTAGTCACTTTTTCTTTAATATGCCTGCTGGAATTTGGTCACAGACATTTTCCAACCCTGAAACTCAGGAAAATAGTGATGTTCCTCAGGCCAACCAGTCAAATGCTTTCACTGCTGATTTATGGTACAGAAAGTAAAATCAAGTCTATAAGTTGTGTGGAAAGCCATGGCAATAAAGTTTTTTTTTGGTACACAACAACTGTCACAACAGATTTTCTAAATGAAATGTCTAGCTAAATAAAGGAATCAGATACCTCAAGGTCACCCTTTGTAATGGACTCCTCTTCCACTCTGAACTGGAGGTCTTCAATTTTCCTATATTGGAATGTGATAACAGATTTTAGTTTAACAGACTGATTAATTCCTGGTACTATTAGCTTTAGAACTCGAGGCAAGTATATAAAAATCAATTTAATTCACTAAGTTATACTTCTCTAAACTGATTAAATCCTTTTCAAGTTCATCCACTGTAAGCACCGAAAAATCTATTTTTATACAAAGCAGCCACATGCTCGGTAAAAGTTGCAATAAGGTTAGTTAACTGGAGAGTCTGCTCTGTTGTAATGGGTGGTGGGAGGAATTGACATATGCTCACAAATGGAAAAGCATCCCCATTCTAGTCAGCCAAAAAAACAGACAGGAACTTGAGCTTGGCAAAGGTGCCAAGTCTGCAAGAATACAGTTTTGACAGTAAGTAAGTGCTGTTATCCTCCTTGTGCTTGGAGTTACTTAGTACAGGTATTGGGTTGAAAGATCTCAAAACTATATGCATTATTTTTTTAATTCTTTTATGGGGAAAAAATGTATATACAGTATGTACTTCATCTGTATTTTGTATAGTTAACTGTTTGGCTGGATCTGATCTTTGGAAAATAAGAAAACTTTTAAACTGTATTATAATTAGCTCATCTAATATCCAGGTGACTGAAGCATGTTTGCTTTTATTTTTCTCTCCTCTAACAGCTGTCATCAGGGACCCAACTAGTATGAATCTTTCAAACATCAGGAGGATCTGGTACAGAGGTATATAAAAGAAGGCATATCAGCATCCCTTTGAATGGGTATGATGTTAAAAGCTTGCCAAGGACACGTGGGATTTTATGGCTAAAAGGTACTTGGGATGACTGTTTTGTTTTGTCAGTGTGTGAAGCTTATCACTGGACTATGTGCTTCTGTCATTAAGAGACGGAATCAACCAGGTATGGTGAGTAGCATAACATTTGATTTTCATCACAATGCTGCACCTATTATCACATTTTGTATTGCCCATGGATTTTTGTGTACTTTATCAAGCTGTAAAAAGTCAAACAAGTTTAACACACATATACTATTTAAAGGGTTATTCACAAAGCTAGCCGAAGGATCAGCTGTAGCTCCAGCTGATCTTACGGCTAGCTGCGGTCGACGGAGCCCAAAGGGCTGCTGTGCACGCTATTCACTAGAAGCAGGTCCTGGCCAATAGGAAACAGTTGGGCGGAGATAGCTGTCACTGCAAGCTCCGCCCAATTGTGTATGTCTTTTTTTTTCAATGATCTTTATTATTGTTTTTTCTTTTTTCAATGATCTTAATTTTTTTTACTTTTTTTTTAAATCTTTATTTTTGTATTTTTTTGGAAATCTTTATTTATTTTTTAAGATTTATCATTTATTTACCTTTTTAAATATTTTTTGACTTTTCTACCAAGCAGAATAGTCGAGCCGAATGCCGCTCGGCAGCATTCGGCTATTCACTCACTGCCGTTCGGCCCCTATGAGAATAGGCTGAACGGCAGCGAGTAGCCTGCCGGAGGTTCAGGTCAGCCGATCCAGATGTTGGATCGGCTGAGTCGAACCCCTTCTGCACTTCAGCTCAGCCGAACATACTGAGCATGTTCGGCCGAACCAAAGACAGCCAAAGCAAGCCAATGTACGGCTGATTTCAGTCGGTGTACGGCTGAAATTAGCCGTACAAGCCTGAAGTGTATAGCCGAACAGCGTTCGGCTCACTTCACTTCGGGTCGGTTATTCACTTTGGCAGCATTGTGAATAAGCCTCTTAACCACTTGAAGTCTGCGGTGTTAAACCCCCTTCCCATCCAGGCCATTTTTCAGTGTTCAGCGCTGCAGTATTTTGATTGACGTTTATTCCGTCAAGCAACGCTGTACTGAAATAAATTGTATACCAATTTTTGGGGACAGATAGAGCTTTCTTTTGGTGGTATTTAATCACCACTGGGGGTTTTATTTTTTACTATATTAAGGGAAAATTACCGAATTCTTTTTTTTTAAAACTGTTTCCCCTATATTAAATGATAAAACATTTATTATTACCCAATTTTTTGGTAAAATATAAAAGACGGGGTCACGTCAGGTAAAAAGACACCAAACATGTCCAGCCTTAAAATTGCGCACGAGCGCGAAACCTCAAAAAACGACAATACCCAAAATTGGTCATAGGCGACACTTTAAAAGCTTTTACCGCTCATGAGTTTAGTGTTATCAGTGATTGCTAGCCCTAAAATGATTGCTCTCACTCCGATGTTCGCGACGATATGTAAGATGTGTAACTCAATTGTAATTTTCTCATGCTGGCGCCACGAACGCGTATTTACGTTTATATGTGCGTAAATGTGGGGGTGGGGGACTTAAAAATGTGGGGTTTTTAAAAAAAACTTTTTTTATGTGACTTTTATTTATTTTTTTCACTCTTTTTATGTTTTTTTACACTTATTGTTATTGCTATTACATAGGGGGATTCTAGCCCTAAAATGATTGCTCTCACTCCGATGTTCGCGACGATATGTAAGATGTGTAACTCAATTGTAATTTTCTCATGCTGGCGCCACGAACGCGTATTTACGTTTATATGTGCGTAAATGTGGGGGTGGGGGACTTAAAAATGTGGGGTTTTTAAAAAAAACTTTTTTTATGTGACTTTTATTTATTTTTTTCACTCTTTTTATGTTTTTTTACACTTATTGTTATTGCTATTACATAGGGGGATAACAATCCCCCTATGTAATAGCAAAGGCACACTGACAGGTCCACTTTATGGAGACATTAGGGATCTCTAGGACCCCTAATGTCACCTGGGGACCCCAAAAGAAGCAGATGAAGTACAGATCTGCTTCATTAGCTTCTTCTCTCTGGCTATAGCAGCCAGATGACTGACAGGTGAATGCGGAAGTGATGTAATACACATCACTTCTGCATTCACAGCCCGGAGGGAGGTCAGCAAGGAGGAAGATGCTGACCTCCCTCCCATCTTACCTCCTTAAGCCCTCCTGAGCCGCTCCCGGGCCGCAGATGGGGCAGTGGATCCCGGGATTGAAGGTGAGGGGTCAGGAGGGGGGGCGGCGAGTCTGCCGTCCATCCGTTTTTTTGCAACGGGCGGACGGCAACAGGTTAATGTATGCTATAGAAAATAAAAAAGCCCTGAAATGCAGTGCTGAGTTTTCACCTTTGTAGGTCATTAATGACTATAAGTAATTCAACTAAATTTCCCAACAAACATAATCAAATGAAATTCTGTTTGCGCATAGAATGCTACTGCATCCTTATTATCAAAGGCAAAAACAATGGTCCATTTTTCTTACAACTGTATTTCAACTGTATTTCTAACGTTTTACCTTCTTTCTTCTTCTAGTTGGTTGAGCAGCTCAGATTTCTCTTTCTGTGTTGTTTCTACCATGACATGAGCCCTCTGAAGATTTCCTTCTGTCTCTGCAATATACTGGCACAGAAAAAGAAAAGCTATTAGCGCACAGAAAACCATCTTTTTGTGCACACTCTCTTTGTACATACCAAAACAGATGCAAATCCAGATTACCTGCAATAGTAAATAAACACAAAAATACATATATTGGCCCTTAATATTAGCATTTTACTGGACAAAACTAATGTTTTTAGTTTCTAGGTTACTAGTAACATGTAATATAACCTAGTGCATTTGGTATAAGTGATGGAAAACAGCTGGTACAGTTCCTGGACAAAAGTCACCCAGATTTAGGGTAAATGGGCTTCTGATGTAATACGATATCCTGCAGACATTTTTACTATAGTCTACCAGTTTTATTATAGTCTAGAGAGCTTGGTCACGGTGCTCAGCCAGTATGTTGCTTGAGCAACAAATCTTTTCTTACATCTGATAAATATTTTAATGGTCAATGTCTACAGCTAGGCAATAGGGTTGATTTACTAAAATAGGTTGTTCACTTTTCAGGGGAATTTTTATATTGCAAGAGAACTGTTCCTTAGCTTAACGAATGAGATAAAAATTCAGTGTGCAAAAAAAATAACCAGTAACCTGCAAGAAAATAAAAACATTTATTTTTAATTGCACATGATTGGATGATAGGCGTCAGCAAAGCATCCCCATTCACTAAGTTAAGGGAAAAAATCCCTTGCAAAGTGAACAGCCTATTAGGCTTTAGTAAATCAACCCCTATGTGTCCTTCGTTGGATGCATACGTGGCTCACTGCAAAAAACAGAGACTGTATTAATGGTTATCTGTATTAGAGGATCACTGTGATATGCATGCATGCCCTTTTCTATAAAAAGGTTTAGCATGGAATAGAAGGAAACTGATTTGTAGAGCAGGAGCATGGCAGAGCATGAAGCCCCCGACATATTGTTTACTATATCCAACATATGAGAATAAGTAGTATTTCGATAACCACACTGAAAGAGGTTTATATTCCTGTCTTAGACATGCATAGCTAGTGTTCCCACAATATGCTTTTTAAACTGATATTAGATATACTGTAGTATTCTTTGAAAGTGAGCTTATCTTCCCAAGGTGTAATTGCTAATTCAGTGTGATAAAATGCACTTCAAATAGGCAAAAATTGCAGGGCAATTGCAATATTTCAGTGACCAGAAGATTATACAAATCTTCTTACAGACGCTATAGGACCTGTTGTATTTAAAATTTCCCCTCCCCCCAAAAAAAGATTATGCATAAGTGGTAAACACATAAGCATTGATAATAATAAGGGTCTACATAAGGACACAAAATTCCAATATGCATTTCTCAATAAGCTAGCTGTAGTAAATAGCATTGTAGCGGATGGACCAGTATATATTAGTGCTAAATTAAGCTTCTAATTCTTCTCCCCTCTACTAAAAAAAAACAATCTTCTATTCCATTCTGCATCCTTTTGGAGAGATATTCCTCCACTATCCACTTGAAGATGGTATACCCCACTGTAAAATAATTGGAGCCTTTTAATTTCAAGTGGGCATAATTTATCACTAACACCAACAATGCAGTCCCATTACTTGTACAGCTTATTATAGGGACAACACCCATTCCATCAAAGACAGTTATTAATGCCAAGGCAAATAAAAAAAAAAAACATGTTTTGTACATCTCATTTTGCAACAAGTACAGAAAAAATACTGTGCCAAAAATACAGTGGTGCTACATTCTTTGACTTTGAATTCCACAGCATGTGTTGTCTGCCCTGCCTACTTCATTTTTTATGGATTACAAAGGAAACAGACATCTCCTAATCTCTCTCCCCTCTCCTCAGAAGTTATACGTTTGCAAGATTTCTTGCAAACTCAACAGGTAATTTTTTCACTAATCGAGCAGATATTACAAAACATTTTCTATGATATATTTAACAGTCCAAATTGAGCAAATGAGAAAAATTCAGTATTTAAATACACATTTAGCACTTTATGACTGATGTTCATAAAAAGTATACCCAGCAAGTTAACATTTCTTGTTTAAAGTGAGCACAAAGCAGTTCGAAATGTTCAGAGAGGAACCCAATGTATTATTATGTTATGAGGTTCTTCTGGTGCAGTGAATATGCAAAATAATATTCCAGAAACTGGGAGAAACTTGTAATCATTGACATGCTTGTGGCCACATTTAGGTATTAATGGCTGATCAGTTAACATTTCTTCCATTCTATGTAAATGCATCAAAATCCAGGTACCTTACAGTAAATGTCAGATGCTCCAGTGAAGTGGAAGTCCTTAGCTGACTCTAGTATGCGTGTCCTTGTGATGGCATTACTACCCTTTACAGCACTTTCAATTAGTTCCATAATACTGCATTTAGTAGGTAATGATGTTTATATGTGTTCTAATGTCAGTGCCAAAATTAGTAACTGACGTTAGTTCAGGATGCAAGTGAGAGAGATACTTTAGCAGAAAATAAGGCTTTCCTGTGCACCTTTACTATCAATATCTAGCTACATAATATAGCAACAAATATTGAAATATATACATAGTCATTGGTTTACCTTTTCATGTTGGGATTTCAAATGTGTAAGCTCTTTCTCTACTTCACATATGTGACTGGTGGCTTTTGCTACCTCAGCTCGTTCCAAGTCTCTTTCAGCCAATAGTTGCTCAATGTGTTGTTGCTTTTCCTTCAGAGCCTCTTGAAGTGCAGTTGTACCAGAGATTTTTCGTGCGTAGCGAGAGGACGTTTCTGTGAGCTAATCGGTGAGATTCAGTAAGGTTTACATTCATGCAGGGAAAACAGTTCATCTCATTTTAATACCAAGACACGTGTATATTAGGTATTATAAACACATGGCTCTGAAACTATAAGTTACAGGTCACTAAATGCCTTGCTACATCAATATGCTATCGGTATACTATTCGATTAATATAATGAGGAACGTCAGCTGTTTGTACTTTATTTAATGCTACTTTATCGGCAAGTATATAACCATATACTACATAGAGTTGGTCCTCTCAAAACTGACATTTCAGGCTTAAATAGATAATGAATAAGATGTGTCTTTTTTCCCTGGGTCTTCACCACCTTTCGTTTGGCCCATTACAACACCGAAAGAGGGTGTAATGCTAAATTTGGAGGATTTCAAACATTGGAAATTAACAAAAGAATTCAACAAGAAAAGACACCTATGTAATAGGCTTAAAAAGTTGGAAACTGTGTAGGGGATATCACAGTTATCCACAGATATCACAAATATCCATACTGCTCTTTATATAACACTATATCCTTATATAATATAGATTTGGTGGGATTGCCCTTAAATGGGCACCAAAACTGACACAGCTATTGCTATGACTTAGGTTAAACTTGATGGACTTGTGTCTTTTTTTAACCTGACTAACTATGTAAATATGACCATGTTAATGGTAGTACTTCTGTTACTCATGTACAATTTAATATAAACACTCCTTTAAGTACTCTTACATATAATGCAAGGATTCCAATACCCCTGTGCAGTGCTCCTTCTATTTTCTCTAAAACTGCCCACATCATTGCAAAATACATTGACAGAGCTGAAGAACAGAAGACTTTATGCTATATGCCAGTAAAAAGAAAAGGATTAAACACAAATTTCGAAGCATTGTTGAATAAATGATTGCTTGTTAACTAGAATACAATATGTAATTTTATAAAGATGTCATTAAGAATTTGTTCCTACCAAGCCACTCCTGCTGGGTCTGCCTCCTACAGAAGAAGCCACTGAGCTCACTGAGCTGATGGAGGAACTGCTGGGACTGTGAGTCAATGCAGACACTCCCATTGCCATCCTTTTGCTTTTCTTAGCTTTAGCAGGACTTGTGGATGGAAAACCAATGCGGATTACTTTGTGGATGGGAGCAAACAGGCCAAACTTTGGTGGACACTGAAAGTACCTGTAGTGAACAAAATTAACACAATCAGTTGATGGTGTGCCAGTTATGCCGTAACCCTGTTACTATTATAATCTACTCAATTCCAGATGTCAATAATTGCAGCAATACTAGTATGTATTATAGCATTACATGGAGATAAAGATCATAACAATACAGAATAGCTTATATAAGTGTTTTTAAAGATATACAGCAACAGCTAGGACAAGAGAGAAGCATAATCAGCAGTTTTCTAAGTTTAAAGAAGTTAAGGCAATTAAATAGAAAAAAATGCTGGGAGGGATTTTGGCATGAGGGACATGGCAGACGTGCAAATCCCAAAAAAATCTTCCTCTCACCTTCAGCAATTTTTTATTTTCTGTGTGAACTGTACAGCACATGCCAAGATGCGAAGATGCAGTGAATTGGCCAGGGAGGATGTAACTCCTGTGCACATGCGCAGAAGTTACATCATCAGTAACCACCCAATGGTCTAAGAGGCTTTCCGAGAACCTAGAGGTATTGGTGGCGAAGATGGCAGCTGTGGGGAACAGGGCTGAGGAGCCAAGATCAATCTGACAACACTGGAGAAGGGCACACTTGTAAGGTAAGTGTGCACTAATGTGCAAGTATCCTGTACATGCTTTCACATTAGAGCACAAAAACAAACATATGCAAAGTGGTTTACTTCTGTTTTACCTATATAATTCCTGTAATGCTACCAAGCAACAATGTAAGGACTCCTATGCCTCCTTATAAAAAGAAAAAAAATCAGAAAGGGAAAGACTTGATGGACCACCTGGTCTTTTTCTGCCCTCACGCTTCGATGTCTCTATGGTTCCATCTTCTCTTCATATCTCTCATAAACTTGTTCTTTTTAAAAATAAATGAAAAAAATGACATGCAAGAACAACATCCTTTATAGGATAAAGTCAAATTGGAAGTTCTGTTTTAATCTTGGAACATTCTGCACCGAGTAGTGAATTTGGCTGTACAGAGCATGCTTCACCTCAGTACAGAATTTATTCACCTCTTGTGCCTGTACCTTCTCCAAAGACATTCTTTACTGTTAAGAACCCATACTACCACCCAACTCATTTCACAAAGTAGACCCACATCTCCAGCACTGTCTATTTCCTCCTCCACAGATATTGCTCACTGATCACTGACACAGTGAAGAAGTACAGCACTGAACTTCAGAACTGTTGTGTAGTGGAAAGTTTCTCAGTGCTATTCATGCTAACAGTGATTGTAGCTGTCTTGGTCCATGTACAACAACACAGTTGAGTGCTGTCTATGATACTTTTTTTTATTTGCACAACAGTTACATTTTCAGGACAAGCTTTGTTTGTTCTACCATCCCCTTTTTCCCAGACGCAGCAGTACTGATATGCAAAGGTTTAGCCAAACCTGTGTGTTAGAACTGTGTGGACTGAGAAGAAGAGGATGGTAGACCTCTGAAAGCTTGTCCTGAAAATGTAACTGTTTGTTCCGATATTGCAAAAGTGTGTGTAATGGCCATATTGTTATAGCTTATTATTTACTAAATCTGGTAAGATAGTAGCACCATCGGTAAAATGGCTTCACTGCTCATAAGTGACTATCTTGAGGTAAAACAAATAACACTCAATACCAGCTATGTTGGGTCTGCTGCTTCAAATTAATAATATTTTGTTACTGTGCACCGAGTTCAGCTTTAAGATTTATTCTGGGTGAAGTGTATTTAGGAACTGGCATTGAGCTTACTTAGGAAATGGCCAGAGCTGGCATTACAGGATTACGGCATTGGGCCCATTTTGTCTTAAACTGGCCTAACCCAGCTCTAGCGTCTGTGCAGCTGTTCTGTCACAACTCTCCAGATAACTCCATACTCTGTGTCTTTTTGGGCTTTCCCTACTGGCAGCACTAAGCTTGTTACAGCTGTGAAGTCCCTAGTGAACACATCTGTTACATCTTTCCCCCAACTGCCCTGTGTCCATGCTGTCTGCACTCTCCTTTGTCATTGTCTGCACTGTGCTCTGCTTATTACTCTGTTCACCTCCTTAGCCCCATATGCTTGTCCCACTTGGGCACAGACTAAAGGCGCCGTACACAATCTACCACTAACTGCTAATGATATCATTATCACACTGATTTATGTCACCATATATAATCTGTCGCTGACAATTACACCAGCTGTCACTGTATATATTCTGTCACCAACTGTCACACCAATTTACATCACTAGGTGTAATCTGTCACCAACTATTACACTGACAAATGTTACTATTACTACTACTATGTATATTCTGTCACCAACTGATGTTACTGTATATGTCAGCAACTGTCATGGTGACTAATGTCATTTTATAGAATCCCCTACTGACTGGCATAGTGACTAATGTCACTATACATGATCTGTCACGAACTATAACACTGAGTAATGTCACCATATATAACCTGTTACTAAATGTCATACTGAATAATGTCTCATGACTGATACATCAACTAATATCACTGTATATAAAATGTCACAACCAACAGAAGTATCTGTATTTGGGCACCAGTGATAATGCACCATTCATCCAAGGTGTAACTCTAGGAGCACTGCATGTTCCTTATGAGATGTACATTTGTTAAAGTCCATAGAAATATAAAGAGCTATCAAATCAGATTTGGTTTTTACCAATAGCTGGCTCTCTAATACTATTTATGGCCATGTACGGAAATTATATAAGGACATTCTAAACCCCTGAAGGAGTCCATTGTTTGTATGGTTTCATAATTTCCTGACTGCATTAGTGTGGCAACCTTTACACTGGACTTTCTAGTGATATTCCGTTTCATACCGTGTTTCCCCGAAAATAAGACACAGTCTTATATTTTTTTTGGCTCAAAAAAAACACACCAGGTCTTATTTTCGGGGTAGGTCTTATTTTTGTTTTTAATGTATAACAATCCAAAGTCAATGCAAATCCAACTTAAATAATCCAAAATGGCAAAGTTAAGAATAGGGTGATCAGGGCAATCAGGGGTGCCGTACCTTTCCAAGAGCAATTTGGTAACCAGAATGAGCGAAGCGCGCTTTCACTATGGATTCCTCACAGGCGGAGTGCATTTGGTATCACTCCGCCTGTGGCAGGAGCCTGCGCTATAGAGGAAACATCGGCTTATGCGGCTCTGCTCCCTGCGCTGCCGCCTTGCTTCCTCTAGCGCTGGCTTCGTTGGCACCGCTGATTCTCTCCTGCGGCTATTCAAGTTCCCCCTCATGCCTTAGCGGCCATGGGAATGGTCACAACTAGGTCTTATTTTCGGGGGTAGGTCTTATATTTTAGCAATTCCCAAAAATGGTACTAGGTCTTAATTTCGGGGTAGGTCTTATTTTCGGGGAAACAGGGTATATGTCAAACATAAAATGTACTCTACAACACATATGCACACAAAACAGTAAACAAATATACAACATAAACATTCCAGATACACAAAGTTCCAATAATCAACAACCTACTGTAGGTCGACTCTCAAAATTACCCTATTCATGAATGGGCACACATTTCATCATGCATTGTGTTGCATTTATTTGAAACACATCGTAATTCATGTATAATTTGGTTGTAATCTAAGGTTGAATATCTGCCCTCTGCAACTGTGCAGTGAACACACTGGTAGATTTCCACATTTAAATCAATATGGATGTTCTTAAAACGAAACTAGACCCACCATTTTAAGGTTTCCCAAAACAGTTACTTTCAAGACATGACAACTGTTAAGGCTGCCAGTGTGCTAATTTCAGTTCTCAACTGAACTTTCAGGCCTTCAAATGACTGGCGCATTGCTGATCACATGTGTAGCACCATGGCAACTGCCATCCATGTAGAGGCTAGGATGGCACCTTCCTTGGCTGTAACGGATAAAAGGTTGTAGTTCTGCTTTAAATAGCCTCTCTCCACCTGGCATTTAAATTATTACTGATCAAGAACTTTGAACACATCATTCTCATACTGCTAGTATTAATCCAGATACCTCCAGGACTGCATGATCTCTTCAGGGTTAAAATCCCACAAACCCAACATTACAACACAGATAACTCTGGAATATTTCCACATAAATGTAAACATACGTGTCAAACTGTCAGAATAAATTACATGATGTGCTGGATACTTGGCCAAAAGTGCAGGTCATAGTGAACCGGCTGTTGTCTCCACATCTGTCCATTACAGCAGACTTTCCACTGAGAAAAATTTACATTGAGCATTACCATTGAGTGATAATGAAAAGGCCACCTGCACTGGATACATCACCGGCTACTGTAATCTTTGTGTGCCTTTTTGAAAATGGACCACTGTAATCTGTGTTTACAAACACCACAAATTATGTGCGTTCTTAAAAAGAAAAATAATAATAATAGCCCAGCTGTTCTGGGTTTCTGTCAAAATCATCTGCGTTCTGTCTCTTTCTAATGCTAGTAACATAACCAAGTATATGAAAATTAGCCAGCTGGCTCAGAGCTAATGCTCCATTCCTTGTTCTGATTCCAGACTTGAGGAATGTCAATTAGACAAGTGTATGAGGTCAGGAAAGTTTTGGATGACCCCAGCATAGGCCTGGCAGGTGTTCAACCACAAACTGTCATGAAATGCACACAACAAACTAGACAAATAAGACATATAACATTATATATATATATACCTCTTCATAGTTTTTAACTGTATGTTTTTTGAATGTTGCATACTGGAGAGCAAATCCGACTGTGGTGACAGCTGGGTTATAGTACAAAGGCTTTAAGAGGAATGTGGGAAAGCAGAAGATGAAGCTAGAGCTAAACTTACAAAAATGCTTGAACACTGGGCTGGATAAAATAAATCAATATATACAGTATATACATATATACAGTATATAAACATTTTAAAAAAAAAGGCTGCTGAAATGCATGATGAGCATAACCTATTAACACTGGAATGGATGCTAGAACACACCCAGGATCTTGTTATCATTTTTGAAGTGTAAAGGACATTCATCACTATTTGATAAGGTCAGATATGCTTTAGATGACGATTGTATATTAAATTTTAATTACTTGTGGTTTCCCATTGTTTCTCTATTGAAATCTTTTGGACAGCTGCTTACTTATCCTATATGGCATCTAATGTTTATAGTTATGCTAGTCAGCTACTCATAAATTGCATACATTTTAGGATTTAAAGTAACGCTTTCCATATGCAATCTTACAGAGCACCATGAATGAAGCTGATATTCTCTGGTGAGACACACATACAGTACATTTCAATGTTTTCTCCAGGACCCTCTGATGGCCGACACATTAAAAACATTGAGCATCACATGAGGGCTTCATAGTGTGTCATGGTACGGGCACAGTGCAGAATTACATATGGGTAGCATAATCTGTTGGGTCCTTACTAAGCAGTCCGTTTCCCATACAAGACGGTTTGATGATACTGAGCAGCACCACTATTGGGAGATATCTTATCATTTTAACACTGGTTCAAATTTTATGGCTTAAATGTAGTAAGTACGTAAATCAGGGGTAAACAACCTTGGCACTCCAGCTATGATGAAGCTACAAATTCAATCATGCCTCTGCCTCTGGGAGTCATGTCTGCGGCAGTCTTGCAATGCCTAATGGGAGTTCCACAACAGTTGGCGTGCCAAGGTTGCCAACCCTTGATATAAAGGATCAGAAGCAAGGATGGAAAAGAAACTATTACTCCCTCATTTCCTTGATGGGGAAATGTCAGGAATGTCATCCATTAAAAAGAGTATGAAATATGCCATTACAAAGAACAAAAAAAAGTTTTGAGGGACAGAGAACAAAGGAAGAGAGTGTATAGCTACATGCCCATTAGAATTCTTCTGTTGTTGGCATTTCCCCATCAGTCATTACATGCTGCCATAGCAATTATTAATGCACTTTAAACTTTCTTATTGTTGACAATTAATGTGTAAGTTTTTATTTCCTCTAAATAAAAATATTCACTAGGGAAGATTATGGCCCCCTGACCTGCATGGACCAACTTAAATATCATAGGCTTTATTTAGACTTGAACCTTATAAATACATTCTAATTGCATGTTGTATTATACGTATTCACTCCAGCTTAATGTTATAGGTCAATACATTGGACCTCTAGCACTTGAGGAAGCAGGCTAAGCTTCTGCAAAAAATGTACAGCAAACAGCAAACTATAAAGAGCTATACAGAATACAGCAACTAACAATTTCTAGTACAAATGTATGTATAGTAAGGGTTCTAGAGAGGTCTGTGACATATTCACATTATAATTGTGGTCTGTACATATTGTATAAAACAGGGTTATTTTGCATATCAGCCTCACAGGGAGTGGATTGTTTTCAGCTGACGCATTGTAAAATAAAACATCAAAGCACAATTGTTATGTAGTGCTGGAAAGCAGAGGTTAGAAATAAAGTTACAAAACTATTAGATAACTATTTATACCTGGTGCCAGCAACAGCTCCATCATTCTTTCCCAATGGTTCATCCAGTTCCACTCCACACCATTCTCCCTTTGCAAAATCTGTCTCCCCAACATAGCGAACTACACCCGTCTTTGTTCCACCAACCTGAAAAGAAATACACACTGCCTGTAAGCCAAGATGAAAACACAATATAGATTACACATCATCCTGGCAGAGACATCTACAATATGATGATGCAGGTATAGAAGCACATACTGTCTTGATGAACTAAAATAAACTGTAATAAAGAAAATGATCACAATAGAAAATAATTAGCATAATATAGTATAGCTAACCTATTTATCTGTCTAACAAGACCAACTATTTCAATGCGTACAAACAAACAACATGCTTCAGCAAGACATTCACTCACAGAAGTGTTCAGTACATTGGTTTACACTCTTTAATTAATTAACTCTATAATTTAATTAACTATTTAATGTTTAAGTGCTTGGCTTCCACGAGGACTTCACAGGTAGATTTCTACAGGATGGATCAATGTTCTGGCGTTGCAGGCAGCATGAAAGTTAAAGTGACATTAAACCCTCAGATTTTTTTACATAAAACAATACTGTAATGTGTGCCTTACTGTAATCCATGGTAGTTTCCCTTCTCTTTGCTGCTCTTCCTTTTAAAACCGTATCTCTTCTCATGCTGGGCAGAACTTCTGTTTTGCAGCAGACTGCCTTGTCTCTGGAATGGATACATGGTGTCTGTGTGCAGGTTCACAACCTGAGCCAGCACTACAGGAAGAGGCACTCAGCTGCAAAGGGAAGTTCTCCCCCAGCATGAGAAGAGATACAGATTTAAAAGGAAGAGCAGCAAAGAGAAGGGAAACTACCATGGATTACAGTAAGGCACACATTACAGTATTGGTTTATGTTAAAAAATCTGAGTGTTTAATGTCACTTTAAGTATTCCCTCTCTAATTTTGCAGGTACACATGTTTAAAACTTTTTTTTTTGCATGACGGGGTCAGTTGAAAGCTGAATTCCAACTCATTGGGTTGAATGATTTCAGAAAAAGCTTGGGGAAAGGCTTTCTACTATACTCCTAAATCTGCTATTCATGTTATACTCAAGAAAAGAATTACAAAATGGTATCCCGCTAGTACAGGGACCTTGGGTCAGTCCACCACATTTTTCCAGATGCACCAGACACCTGTTGAAGATCTGAGCGGGAGAGAGGTTCGTACTTACACATATGGTGGGAGTGCACTCTGGTACAACAACTTTGGTCCCATATTTTTGCTATTTATAATCACATTTATGGTACTGTTCTAGCCCCCTCCAGAGAGGTAGACCTTCTGTCTATGTATCCCCGCTCTAAGAAGCAACAGAAATGGTCTTTACTTCGATATGTCTTTTCCACTGCCCACCAAATTACCCCTGCTTTTTGGAGGATGACCGTGACCCCTTCATTGCCCTACTGTGTTAATGTCATGAATTATATTATGTGGGTGGAGGAATTACTGACCATAGCTTCTGACATTCATGATACTTTGTATTAGGGATGCACCGATACCAAGTACAGTACTTGGTACAAGTACATGTACTGATACTTTTCGAGCTCCAAGACTAGACTAGAGAAAAATTCAAAAGTTAAGAGACAGCTGTCATTTGTAAGGAGCATTGGCTATGGAGCGCCTGGGATTTGTAAATCTCTGTTTTAATGTATGATTTCGTTTTTATAAATATAAATAAAGGGATGCACCGATACCAGTTTTGCGAGTACAAGTACTGGTACTTGCCCAAGTACGAGTAACTGATACATTTTTGTTTATTGTCATGTGACAGTTTTTCTAAAACAATATCGACTAGTGATTTCAGGACAAATGGTAGAGCGCCAGAACCCGGTCCCAGCTGCAACCGCTGCAACCCTGGTAGTTCTTGTGAAAATGCCAAGTATCAGCATTGGTACTCAAAAAGTATGCATCCCTACTTTTTATGAACTGTGGGCCCTTTGGTTACATTTCTCGGCCTTCGATTCCCTCAGACACAGACTTTAATTTGACTTTTGCTACAGTTCTGACTTTTTCATCCACTTCTCTAAGTGGATGCTTGAGTCTCTCTTCTGCATTTTGTTCCTGCTAGTTTTTCCTGTTTTCTCTTCTGTCTCCCTTTACTTGGATGTCCTTTCCCCAATTTTGACTCAGAACTAACTAGCTGCGGTCTCTTCCTCAATCGGTTCCATGGAGATATGATGATTGCTATTAGTACTACGTCCTTTCATTGTATTGTTCGCTTCTCCAATTACTTCATCTTTATGTTATTTGTCATGTTCCCTGTTGGGTCTTGTTTTGACTGTATGCATTATGTATTGTCTGCACCATTTTATTATTGTTTAGTTTGGTCCTCTGTTTTAATGCACTTTCAAAAAAAAAAAGATTCAACCATTAAGCTGAATTCCAGGTAAGCTGACAACTCATCTACAATAGGTTTTGTAATTCTGTTTAGCCAATCTTTTGACTGAGATTTATAACTGAATAAAATAAAAGTGTGCATATCCAGCTTACTTTCATCTATGTAGCAATAGACTTTTGAATGCTGGAATCTGTTTCATGATGAGCTATAATACACTGTCTGAGCTCCAGTTTTTACAAATCCTTTCCTGTATATGCACTGAATCTTCACTGCAAAAACTAGTAAGGGTGGTAATTTTCTTCACAATGAAACACATTTAACATATAGCTAGTTATATTTACCATAAGACACTTGTTGGCCAGTCCCTAGGGCAGAAGCGTAAGAAAGGTAGCACTGAGCCTCCAAAATTGCATGCCACCTCCTAAAACATATTGTAGCATTAATTCGTAATAAAATAATCACATGACCCATAAGGCCAAAAGGGCATTATCACTCCGGTGTGCTGAGGGTGTCCTGGCATCTCGAAGTCCTAATTTTACTCATATATAATATAACTTTTGTCAAAGCTGAGTCATTTCCTGCTTATTTTAATGTACTGGTTAACCTGCCCCATGACGTCAGCACACAAACATTTGTTTCCCTGGTCTGGTCATTTACTGCTTTTTCACATGAAGTGGGTGAGAACAGGAAGCAATGGTTGCTAATTACAAACAGAGCCAGCAAAGATCTCATCTCATGTGCCCACCCATACAAAATATTGGAAAATTCTGCCCTGCGGTTATTGCACATTACAGTTCACAAACACTGTACAAAGGCACATTATTATGTGCGACAGTTACTAACTTGAATGTTTTTGTAGAATTACCCCCAGCAGTGGCGTAACAACCGGGGGTGCGGGGGGGTCACCTGCCCCGGGCGCCCATAACTCTGGTTACGCCACTGACCCCCAGTATGTCTTGAGGCTGTCTTGGGTGGAGGCTTCACACCCTTTCCTACTGCATAAGTTGCCAGTCAACCATGCAGCCAGCTTGCTGCTTTACCTTCCATTACAATCATTAGGGTAGCTGATTCTGGTTTGGCCTCCCTCTGTGTTTGTGCTTATGAGTAAATAACCTAAGGATGCAGGGGATGGAATTCATTCTTGCACTTAACATAAATTAAATGTAGCTGCTCTGGTTGGCCATAGGGAGGCTGGAATTTTATGCATTGCCTTAATATTACACCAGTGTCAGATGCCTTGGGGAAACTGTTGCCAAACAAGAAGTATAAGATGGGTCAGCATAGTACTGGCACATAGTTTGCACCGACAATGTGTATGTAAGATCCCTATATGCTGCAGCTGTTGCAAGACCCAGACAGGAGCAAAAAAGGGCTTACAGGGTTCTCACCTAAAGGACCCTAGTATAATATTCCATACTTATCACAGTAGATTTATCAGTTAAACAATAAAGGATTTTACTAAAATCACTAAAATCTCGCTGCTTAACCAAGAAAATCTGTATGTAATGAGCGCATTTTGCCAAGTTCCATAAAATGAAGGCTTTAAACAAATTCATGTACATAGATAGTAATATTTACATTAAGATCTCTTTACATGTAAAAAAAATAGAATGTACATTCCCTATACGATAATCAGAATTTAATTGTAATAAGGCTATTGAGGACAAATTCCTTTTCAAACTTGTGCCTTTCTGTGCTGGAGTGAGCTGCAATTGTGAACTAATTTTCCAACAAGAACAACCTATCATAATAGTTAAATGAATGTTGTGTTTTTATTTATACTAAATTTCTCAGAAACTTGTAACCTAAATGTGTGAAAGAATGAATATTTTTATGGCTGTTCAAAATGTTCCTTTTGGAGAAATGTTGTCAGATTAGAGTTGACTTGGAATTTCCATGGCGGAAACTTTTACATAGAAGCATCTGGCCACCAATGTGCTACTGAGTGCTATTATTGTTAAAGCAAATTCTCTGTTTTCTTTGGTTATGATGAATAACTAACTGAGAGGAACATAATGTCCATTCTCCATTATGCTGCACCCATACTTACTGTGGAACCCAAATAAAAACTTGGAGTCTTTTCAGTCTGGTTTGTTAATATGATTATGAATTACAGAGAATTTTATGATTTCCTTAGTGTAGACAGCTGAAATGTCTAGATAAAATAAAAATAAAACTATGTACATGTCTCTAATATATGCACATTTTCCCAGGTTTGGTCTCTTTAATAAGGCTGCAAGTAGTGAACAAATACTGTACCTGTTGATTATACAATTCTGCACTAAAACAGTAGGAGAGGGGGAGAAAAAGCAGGAAGCTGGTATGTTGGGGAGCAAGCGATGAGAATTATAGAGATAAGGAAAGATCTGTGTGCTGACACAGTCAAGCAGAAAACTCGGACAGGGCTGACAACACTGCTTGGGAATTTCAGTGAGGAAAGATGCTGTGTTGTCAGCTCATTACAGGAAGTTAGTGGCACAATGGATTTTTGCCGGTATGTTTCAGTACTTGCAGTGTTTTTTTACAGGCATACTATGAGTATATGTGCATGTATTGGAGAGTTGGCTGAATATGGTTTTTTTTTTAAACACTTTGTTTTTTTGCACACTCATACACTTTAGGATGTAATTAACAACCTAGTGTATTTAGCTAGTGATCTCAGCTAACTTCAACAGGTTCAGAAGGCAGGGAAACCTACTCTGCTAAGCGTTAGCTGATTGTTAAAATCTCTTCAACACTTTG